TTGGGACTCTAACCCGGAGCCGATGGAGTTGGATGAGGAGCCAGAGCCTATAGATCAGGACCCCAAGCAGGAGGGCGAGTCCGAAGAGATGGAGTCTGAGGAGGAGCCGGCAGAGGCCGAGTCCGAACTGGATTCCCTAGACTCCGAGGTCGAGCTATCTGACAGTTCCTCTGAGTCCTCGAGATCCGACCCGGACTGAGTTCCGTAGGGTTAGCCTTAGTCTCAGTTAAGTCTGGCCAGTACCTTTTTTATCGGAGCCCCACCTTAGGTAGTAGTCTAACCACCCAGGCCACTTACCCATTTTTGTCAGTAGTGGCCGTTGACCCGCTTTTGATTTTTATGCGTAAGCTGTAAATGGATATTGTATATGTTCTCCCTGTTAATGCAAGTGTATATTCATATTGGTGTTTGTTGTTTGTGCTATCCTTGGTCGTGTGTTTTAAATTGTACGGGTGTTATGTTGCTTCCGCGTGTGCACGATTCTCTGTGTTGGGTGTTGGGTCGGCGACGCGTCCTGGGACGTCGCACCTGAATCGACCTCGGTTGGGTTGTCGCGCACCGTAGGGTTCGGGGCGTGACACTAATAGACCCACCAATAACTGATTAGTAGTGACTTCAAAATGAAATTAATTTGCATGTTAAAGATTGAACCTAAGTTGCGAATTGGTATGGGCTTAGAAGAGCCCAAGCTAAATGTAAGCTTAGCAATCCATTAGCCAAACCCTAGGTGGTTCGCCGTTAGGGGAGGTCACGACAAGAGCATAATCCTATTATGTTGGAAATAAGACAAGATTCCAAGGATGTTGGAAAGCTAGTTCCCCCAATCTTGAATTAGGACAAAGCTCCCATAAGTTTGGAATTGTCATTTAAATTATTCCCAAGCACCTTGAGCTCCTACAATGTTGGAATTCACTTACTTTAGCTCATCGAGCTACTCTTGAATCCAAGAATGTTGGAAACTTATTTTAAGTTCATCTCTCATGCCGAACTTGAGTTCGAGCACCAAGAAAGTTGGATAGTTAAGTTCGGAGTTCATCACTTGCATTAAACTTTAGCTTAAACTCCAAAGAAGTTGGAAAGTTCAATTTCAAGCTTGTATCTCGTGTTGAACTTAAGTTTAAGCTTATTCCACACGCCAAACTTAATTTTTTGCTCATATCTTATGCCGGGCCATTTATCGAGTTCATCTCCAGCTCCCTGTGATGTGCTTGATTGCAAATTGGTCAGTCCTGGATGCTTTTAGTACCTAAATGCCATGTAATGCAATGTAGAATGCAAATGTAAACTATGACAACTTTTATATTTCTGTTTCAGGGGCAAGTTCGATCCTAGTTTTCTGATGTGATGAATGACAAGTAATAGGTATCAAAGTTTAGGAGTCAACAATCATACTATGTCCTCATCTCACGACCACTTCAGTTGGATTTGACTGAGTTTGGAGTGCAAAGGACTTGATTGGAAAGTTGGGAAAAGTAGAAAGACTTGATTTAAAAAAATTTAAATACAAGGACTTGATTAGAAGAGCCAGAAAAGTTTAGAAACAAAAGGTAGAATCAAGGACTGCTAGTTCTGCATGAATCAATGAGCTTAATATTTCATCTAATACGTTTTTACGAATTAAATTAAGGAGATTCATTTTGTTTAGGTACGAGAGGAAATTGTCCTCTGCTTGAGAAGGCACCACCACAATTAGCAATACCACAACTTCTGATCAGGTGTTTATGATGCGAATCAAGAAGGTGGCTGATTTGTTAACTATGATTATTGTGATCATTAGGTAAGAATCCATTACAATAATAGTTCCGTAAGTTAAACATATGGAATGCATGACTATGCTTGAAATGGCCGTGGCCCAATACCATGAAAGGTGTCGACTTTGCATACTTCATTGATTTTTGGGCAGTTACGAAACATAACGTCTTTGTCCACGCAAAAATATGTTATGATTATTTATAGCATCCATTTCAAAGCATAACGTCTTTTTCGAAACATAACGTTGAGAACGACCGTGTTGGATTTAAGATTCTACGAGGGTGAATGCGTACTTACACTTTACTATTTTATTTTTAGAAAGACAAATTATAAAAAAATTGACTTTTTGCTCGTTAATACGTTATTTAAAGGTAAAAGGGATTATGATTATGTTCATGTTCATATATGTGTAACATACATACATACATACATAAAAAGTCTGAAGACATAAAATTGGTTGATACTTCTTTTCAATGAAACTTAGAGTCCATCACTTGATGACTCTCTCATGATCAATTCCATCATGAGTTGTTGAAATCATTTTTGAGTTTCCTTTTTCATGTACTCAATGGATTTCAACAAATCATTAGGTACATGCATTGCATTTTGCATTTCTAAGGCCTTCATCATCAAATTGGCCTTCCTACCATTATAAAATATATTTCGCATGCTACCCTAACTATTTAACCTTTTGAAATCGTAACATCATCAATTTCAGTCCCCAGAAAATGGCTATGGGTTAAGTTTGGAGGTTTTCCTCAATCGGAACTAATTTTACTGTTGTTCTGGAAAATCCAGATTCGTATCCTCTGTACCCCTTCGTTTTGTTATTTTTGTGAAGACTTTTATGATCCGAATTTCGAAACACTTCCTTCTTAAAAGTTTCTACAAATATCTTGAAGTTTTAGATACTGTACTTTCAGAATTTTTGGACTTGATATGAGTAGTACGATAGCCTAATTTTAGGACCGTGTAAAATTGCATATAATGGGTATTTCTGTGATGTTCACACTTTCTCGATTTTCTACAAACTTTTCTCGGCCGATTTTGAACAAACTTCCTTCACAAAATTTATTGAGAACTTCTTTATCTATAACATATATAATTTGGGAATTTTTTAGATGATTTGGATTTTGGAAAGAGCTTACTTTGAAAAGCAAAGATTATGTTCCAGTAAACTATTTTTAGTTTGCCTTTGAGCTACTAAAAGCTATAGTTATAGAAAGATTCAGATTTCGTGTTCCTCATGGAAAATGTTTTTTAAGGCCTTGTTTATGACATATTCAAATTTGAGAATTTTTGGAGTCCATTTACTATGTTTTCAAGTTCGATTTCGTGAACAGTACAAAACTACCCGATTTTGCCAAATTTCAAAGATTCATCAATTTCTATATAAAAACATTAGAATTTCAATTTGATGTTTTCTGGAAACAAAATCTATACATTATGAGCTTTTAAATGAGAGATGTGTGGCCTCAATTAAAGGCTTGCATAAGAAGCTTCATGATGGTCAAGAACTTAGGGAGCAAGTTTTAACTTGGAAGAGTCTAGAGAGTCAAGAACTTAGGGAGCAAGTTTTGACTTGAAAGAGTCTAGAAAGTCAAGAACTTGGAGAGCAAGCTTTGACTCTTAAACTTGGTGAACAAGTTAGTGATTTGCCTATAAATAGGCTTGGTTTCCCCCCTTAGTTTCCACACATCACCTCTTCTTCCTCTCATCTCTCACTCCCACGTCTCTCTCTCTCCCTCACCATCACACTAATCATATCTCTCTCTCGCCGTTGGCCACTGCTGACTACCGTAGATGTTTTCTTGAGCTTATAGGTGAGTGAATTACCTAACACTTGGATAGGGCAGTGTGTTACGTGGTTGGAATGTGGCATATAAGTGAATTCCCTAATATCAGGAAAGGAAGATTAGATGCGTTGTGACGTGGTTTGCTTGGACTGTGTTCGGTCTTTTGATTGGTCGTGGTTGGTTTTTTCCATGTCTTGCCTATGTTTCGTATTTGATGTGACGTGGTGTTGCGCGAGTGCTTGTTGTTTTGCTTCATGGTCACGAGTCAAGGCACGTACGGGTCACGAAACGGGGTGTCGTATGGTCTCGTACTCATGTTGTGGTGTCACGGGACGAGTTCAGCTTGGTGTGGGTTTACATTGAGGCATGTAGATCCGGACCAAGTTCGGCTCCGAGCCAGTGCTCAGTATGGCGGACCGTGCCATGTGCCCTCGACTGCGACCCCGCATGTTAGGCAATTTGCCCTATAGAGCATGGATCACACAAGCACTGCACAATTTCATGGGCTAATATTATCAAGATAAGAACAGGATTGTTTGATGATCATACAAGGGACTAAACTGTCACCGATGGATTTCGGCTATGTAATAAATGAACCCCGTGTGAATTATTTTACGTTGTTCTTGTGCATGGTTGCATGATGCTTGGATGTGGTAATTGGTGTGATATGTTGATGTTCTTAACTATGTTTTATGAGCTTGTAAGATTTTCATGTGTACATAGCAACTAAGGCCCTGTATGCATGAATTAAGATAAGTGATAATAAGCCGGCTTGTGTGACCCATGATGTGTGATTCATAACTTTAACTCTAATTCCAAATTTGCCAACACGTTAAAAAATTAGCACTAATTTCTTCAAAATTATCAATATCGGGCTAGTTAAAAACTACGTCTTCGTCAACACCCTTATATTGGTATCGAACGAGAGCAGCTTTATGATGTTGATAACTTTAAATGGCAGATTTTGGACAAGTGGACGGATTTTGGACCGTAGATTTTTTTAAGAAATTAGCCCAAATCAAATATAACAAATGATAATTTTTAGACATGGACTCTCTCTATCTCTCTCTCATTAACAAAATCTTTAATTATAGGAACCCTCATGATGACATATCAACAGTTTCCCCAGTGTATTCTGTCAAATCAAACTTTAAGCACAACTCAATTTTCACTTCGCTTACGTAACCTTGACTAAGCTTCGGAATCATTGATTACTTTACGAACTACTTTAATTACTTTACATTATATTATATTGTACTATATTATACGACATTATATATCTCTAGATATATGCATAGCACGCCTCCATATCTTTCGGATCTGGCCGGCTATTAAAATTCATGTCTAGTCAACATCATCAGTACAAGTAAAATAAATGAATGTTTGGTAATAGTGGGTATCCGACGACACCAAACGATTGAAAGTTCCTCAATTCCACATATGACAGACTATCGACGATGTCTAGGTATATAAAGAGCAGCAACACAATGCAAAAACACAACAAAAGCTCTTGATTAACTCTCTTTCTTCTTCTCCTCAAGAGCAGTCTTGCTACTATTTCCCTCAAAAGCTTCATGGAAACAGAAGTGGCTTATGATTTGTTTCCGATGGCAAGGGTTTACAAGGATGGCCGAGTGGAGAGATTCATGGGCACGGCCACCGTCCCTCCATCGCTCGATGAGAAAACTGGAGTACGATCAAAAGATGTCGCCATTTCATCGGACTCCACCGTGTCGGCAAGACTTTACATCCCAAAAGCAGCAGTCGACTCTCTCCAAAAGCTCCCTGTACTCGTGTACTTTCATGGAGGAGGCTTCATAGTTGAAACGGCGTGGTCACCACTTTACCACAACTATCTCAATGCCCTAGTTGCAGAGGCTAACATCATCGCCGTCTCCGTAGATTTTAGAAGGGCACCAGAGCATCCTCTTCCTGCAGCTTACGATGATTCGTGGACTGCCCTCAAATGGGTGGCCTCTCATTTTGCCGGAAACGGCCCTGAGGAGTGGTTGAATTCTCATGCCAATCTCAAGAAGGTGATCTTAAATTATCTTCATTTTCTATTTAGATTAGTTGTTGGCATAAATATACTAATGAAAACGACATGCAAACTCACAATAGTAGATTCATTGTCTACATGGTATAATTGTGGCTATAATATAGCGTAGTTGCGTAATGACTCTGCAATGAAGTGTTGCATATGGTGATTTTGGTGATAAATGTTTGAAAGTTACAACACCTTAGAGTTTTTTTTTTGGGTAAAGTACAACACCTTAGAGTTAGGTGAGACAGTTTTCTAAAATCTTCCATATGCTAACTATGGGCACGAATAGCGTCGTGGGTTGGTCAAAATCCAACCTTCACAAATTCGTAATGGGGGACAATTTTTAAGATGAAGCAGGTAAGCAATCGCAAGGCTTTCCAAGCTCGCATTGTTTACAAAAGCAAGACTTATAAGGAGAAAAGATTGTTCTCAGGGTTGTATTAACATTATTTCATATTTTAAAAGAAATATTATAAGAAAAATATTTCAAAAAAATTAATATATTGTTTACTTAAAGCGGACAGGGGGCAGATGAGCAGGTGGGCAACGCTAGTCGCTAATACCAACCCCGCCCATGCCCCACAGTTTAATGCAATATTAAATGTTGCTACGGCTTTGAGGGTACTGCAAATGCAGAAGTTTGTCGAACGCCTAAAAGTCATGACACTCCTTTCCGTAGAAGTAAGTGTAGCGGAAAAACTCCAAATTAATATATTTATGATAAATTTAATTTTTATTAATTTTTTTAAAATTTTATTATCAAATTACTGAGCTAAATGACACGTGACAATTGACGCATATACTAGTTTTAGCGTTTTACCCTCCGTTTATCACAAATGTACTAATTTGTTGATTTTTGTTTATATTAATTCAATTTGAAGTAGGGTAAATTTATCACAAATATACCAGTTGAGAATTTTTTGTGATCAAAAAATTAGTTTAAGGTAAATTTATCGCAGATGTACGAGTTTTGATTTTTTGGTGGTCAATAAATTAGTTTTTAGTAAATTTATCACAGATGTACCAGTTTAGAGTTTTTTGTGGTTTTAACCCTTTTAAAAATAGATCCATTATCTTTGCCTTAATACTATTAAGAGAGGTTGAAGCCAAATAAAAAAACCTATTCGAATTTGCCTCCAAAATTAATAAATAAAAATTCAGCTTAAATTGTAGAATACTATCAAAAAATTAAGGTGACTTAGCACAATGTCCTCGAACAGTTTCCGCGGTGAGCGTACACACTAATACCACGTTCTGTAAATTCTCTCATAGGTGTTTATGTCCGGAGACAGCGCCGGAGGTAACATAGTTCACAACATGGGCATCCGTCTGGGAGAGGAAAAGCTAAATGGAATTGGATTCCCCGATGCTATTATGGTGCATCCTTATTTCTGGGGCAGCAAACCATTGCCATTGGAGACCACCGAACCCGAGAAGAGGGCCTTTGCAGAGAGGTTCTGGCTCATGGCGAACCCAACGACTGCCGGGTGTGACGACCCACTACTTAACCCAGCAAACGACCCGAGGCTCTCGGGTTTGGGTTTCAATCGGGTCCTGATTTGTGTTGCTGAAAAGGATACGCTGAGAGATAGGGATTGGTACTACAAGGAGTTGTTGAGTAAGAGCGGATGGGGTGGAGTTGTGGAAGTGATGGAAGCACCGGGGGAGGATCATGTGTTTCATTTGTTCAATCCCAGCTGTGATAATGCTGCGAAGATGATGAAGAAATTGGCCTCCTTCATGAACGAGGACAAATAGGGTCAAAGGTATTACTGTTTATTAGTACCTTCCTTTGTCTGCAGGGCCAATTCTTGCTAACTCTTATCTCTATTTGTACTAAAGGACAGAATCTTGTTTTGTATTTGCCAGCAACTCTGTTCCGTGCGCGTTAATTTTCGTATATGGTTTGTAATTTAAATCTGGTTGGTAAAATCATGTCTAGGCATATCAAAAACAGAAACATAATGCAAGAACACAACATAAACTCCTGATTAAACTCTCTTTCTTCTTCTCCTCAATATTACCCTTGCTTCCATTTCACCGAAGAACTTTCCGTTGGTAAGGATTTAGAAGAATGGCCGAGTGGAGACCCTCATTGGCATGGCCACCGTCTCGCCATCACTTGATGAGAAAACTGGCGTCCCATTGAAAGACGTCGCCATTATATCAGATTCTGCCATGTCGGCAAGACTTTACATCCCAAAAGCAGCTGTCAACTCTCTCCAAAGGCTCCCTGTACTAGAGTACTTTCACGGAGGAGCCTTCATAATTGAAACGGCAAAAGGAAAATAGACATGCAAATAGATTACAAAGCTTACACTTAAGCGAGAATTCTCTCAAATCCATATCAATCGTAACTTTTGAATTTTAATTTAATTAATTTAAAGATGCAAATCAATTTATTTAGGAGTCGTCACTAATCGGTTATTGATAGATCGATTAGACATTTAAGTAAAGTGCCGGAGAACACGTTACTTCTACAAACTAGAGGTTCATGGATACAGGAATTTTGTTACGATAGATTAATCTAACGCCCTTCGGTACCTTTTCTCTTTATTTAAAAAAATGTTGCAAGCACTCTTGGTTAATTTTAATTCTAAACCACCATCATGCGATGGATGTTCATGCGGGTACGCAATCAGTAATGTAACACTCAAATAACTCAATAATTAAAGCAAAAAATAAATAAATTGCTAGAAATATGGCTAACCTCAATGTAAAGAAAAGCACAATCTTACGATGATTAATTTATCAATATTTGCAATATTTCAATTAAAAATGCATGCATAATCTAAACATAATTTCTAAAAGCAATGACATTCTAATTAATTCTCGTTTGGGTTTTTCTTGTTTATGAAAACTAAATTATATGCAAGTTCAATTCAAGTTTAACATGCATGAATTATTAAACTAATGACATATGACATGACCTAAATTATCAAACTAATAACATGTGACATGACCTAATTCTAATGACGTGCAAAAATTATGATCTAATCTAACATAACATGTAATCTAATTTATATGAGTCTAAACTTGCTATCGCTAAATGACATGAGAATTACGACATGGAAATATGACGATGTGAAAACACTGACATGGCAACATGATGACATGGCATGTGATGACACGGCAAGTGATGCAACTAATTTTATATGATATATGCTTATTATTTTTGTGATTTTCTTTAAAGATTAAAGTAGGAAACTACATAAAATAATATATAATTACCTAATTTAAACTAGGAATAACTTAGATTAAATCCTATTCTAAATTAGGAAATTTCCTAAATTACTATATTACTACCAGATATGCAAATTCTAAATAAGAAAAACTATCCTCACATGCAATGCAATTTTTTTGTATTTTTATTTTAGAATAGCTTCTTAAAATAAATATCATGCAATATTTCAAACCACATAATTAATTATCCATTGAATTCAAAAATAGGAAATTATCACCATCGAGGATCTGATCTTAAGTCTTGAACATCAAAACCTCGGCTATTATGCATGACTCAAAAGGAGACTTCTTATATGGAAACCAACTAAAATCTCAAAATAAATCGTGTTAGAGTCAAATAACCACAATTTAGGCAATTGAATATTTGAATCAAAGATAACTTAGGAAATTACTTGAATTGGATTATCGGGGTCGCAGGTAACCGGTAAGGAATGGCAAGAGGTAACGTCAAGGACTGTGAAAATCACAGTGGTATCTCTGGATCTTTGATGTTTAATTCCTTTGGTGAAGTTGAAGAACTAGGTGTCATGGAGGTTTCCTCACAATTTCAATGCATTCTGATTAGAACAAAAGCGTACTCACCGTTTTCAAGAGACCATGCATTGAGTTCTTCAATCTTGATCCACAAGGTCCGACTATTTCGGTTTTCTCCATCAAAGAAATATTTGCAGATATGTTCCCATCAATCCCACTAGACAAACTCAAGAACAATGTCTTACCGTACTTCCCAAAAAATTTGAGCGCAATCCAACGGTTAATTAATAATGTGTACTCGTCGATTTCATGAAATCGCATGCTGAGATTTCAGGGGTGGAAAAAAAGCTCGTGTATGTTTCTTGTTTTTTGTGCTCTCTTGTGTCCTTTTTTATTTCTATTGTGTATTATCAACCCCTTTGTTAACCCTCAAGGCACATATTTATAGGTGCAAGTCTAGAGTTTCTTTTAAGATCAAAATCCCTTACTTTCCTATTTTTTACTCTAAGAGACTTACCCTATCTTTAACAATAGAAAACTCTCCTATTATCTCTTTTGATTTAAATTGGCATAATATCAAGTTTAATTGCTCTACAAGTTTAAATTTGATAAATCAATTCCAACTTGGCACAAATTTTCCATCATGAAGATTTAATAGCCTCAATTTGATTTTCACCTTATGGGCTTAATTCAATTAATTTAATTAAGCTCATAATCCCCCTCGCTTAAATCTATTAACTCCAATGCAATATCATAAGAACTTAATTAAAATTCTCCTAATATTTATATGCAATTTAACTAATATATTTGTTTAGGCACCAGGGTCGATCCCTACTTTTTATATGCAATGAATAACTAAATTAGTCATCAAAATTAGGTATCAACGACGACTCGATGAGTCTTCCAAACTATTTGATGGAAATTAACTTGTGATCTACAATGCAATGGTCTTCCTAAGTATATCAGCGATTACTACTCAAATGTTCACCTTCCCATGATGCTTCCAAATCCTCATGAGCACCTCGTTCTGCCAAACTTGGTCTCCCTATAGCAAGAATCATCCATCTTGTTGATGCCTTTCCACTGCAAGCTTAGGAAACCATTGGTAGTGGCAAAATCTTCCTTACATCGACAACATCCGATTATGACAACATGTGTATTTATCATATGACAATTAGTGTGAAAGTTTTCGACTTTTTAAAACATCATAAGGAGATTTTCTTGACAATGTAAATAGCACGGTAACCTACATCTACAGCTCTTAAGCCACATCCACTCGAACAAAAATGTTAATTATCAAGTATGAAGTTTTGTCATCATCATAATCATAGGGTAAGAGATTGAACAAATCCTTGTCCCTTAATACATACATCAAATGCTTGTGGCAAGGCAAATCAATGTCTCTATTGTTATTAACAGCCTGTAATTTACAAGTTAGCTATGCTAGAAGGCAGGTCCAAGACGATGGCTCAAGGGTTGACTAATATAGCTAGAAAGGTGAGACCCTCTAGATCAAGTAAGTGACTCCTAATGAACTATCTTACTTTTCAGACCTAGAAGAAAATTCTCAAAGACTTATCCGTTTGTGATGTGTAGATTCGTTCCACGTGAAGATGGTAGCTGCCTTAAGCTTGATGGTGATTTGTGGACGTTTAACCTATTAGAGAAAATGATGCAAGTCAAGAAAAAAAATCCTTAATTATTGGAACTTCCATGCTAACATCCATAAATTCCTCAATGTATCCTGTCATATCAAACTTCAACCTTAATTAAACTCCTAATTATGGATTACTTTTACTTTGTTTTACATTACATGTCTCTAGATTTACGGATAGCATGACTCCATATCTTCTAGATATGTCCCCAGAAGGGAAATGAGAATCGGCTTCTTGTGACAAGAATGCATAGAACTTCCTTTGAGGTTGGCCATGCGTGGAAATTAGTAGCCACTTCCAAATAAAACAAATGGGTGTTGAGCCATCGTATGCTATCTTACTTTTCAGACCTAGAAGAAAATTCTCAAAGACTTATCCGTTTGTGATGTGCAGATTCGTTCCACGTGAAGATGGTAACAGCCTTAAGCTTGATGGTGATTTGTGGACGTTTAACCTATTAGAGAAAATGATGCAAGTCAAGAAAAAAAATCCTTAATTATTGGAACTCCCATGCTGACATCCACAAATTCCTCAATATATCCTGTCACATCAAACTTCAACCTTAATTAAACTCCTTGATTATAGATTACTTTACTTTGTTTTACATTATTTGTCTCTAGATTTACAGATAGCATGACTCCATATCTTCTAGATATGTCCCCAGAAAGGTAATGACAATCGTCTTCTTGTGACAAGAATACATAGAACTTCCTTTGAGGTTGGCCATGCGTGGAAATTAGTAGCCACTTCCAAATAAAACAAATGGGTGTGGGGTCATCGTATGCTATCTTACTTTTCAAACCTAGAAGAAAATTCTCAAAGACTTATCCGTTTGTGATGTGCAAATTCGTTCCACTTGAAGATGGTAGTAGCCTTAAGCTTGATAGTGAATTGTGGACATTTAACCTATTAGAGAAAATGATGCAAGTCAAGAAAAAAAATCCTTAATTATTGGAACTCCCATGCTGACATCCATAAATTCCTCAATATATCCTGTCACATCAAACTTCAACCTTAATTAAACTCCTTTATTATGGATTACTTTTACTTTGTTTTACATTATATGTCTCTAGATTTACGGATAGCATGACTCCATATCTTCTAGATATGTCCCCACAAGGGTAATGACAATTGGCTTCTTGTGGCAAGAATACATAGAACTTCCTTTGAGGTTGGCAATGCGTGGAAATTAGTAGCCACTTCCAAATAAAACAAATGGGTGTTGGGTCATCGTATGCTATCTTACTTTTCAGACCTAGAAGAAAATTCTCAAAGACTTATCCGTTTGTGATGTGCAGATTCGTTCCAAGCGAAGATGGTAGCAGCATTAAGCTTGATGGTGATTTGCGAACGTTTAACCTATTAGAGAAAATGATGCAAGTCAAGAAAAAAAATCCTTAATTATTAGAACTCCCATGCTGATATCCATAAATTCCTCAATATATCCTGTCACATCAAACTTCAACCTTAATTAAACTCCTTTATTATGGATTACTTTTACTTTGTTTTACATTATATGTCTCTAGATTTACGGATAGCATGACTCCATATCTTCTAGAGATGTCCCCACAAGGGTAATGACAATTGGCTTCTTGTGGCAAGAATACATAGAACTTCCTTTGAG